GTGCCTTTGATGAAGAGAAGATTTTCATTTCACATAATTCAGTTTTTATCTAATTTATTCTTCATGGTTTCTAGTTATTTGCGTTCTGTTTAGAAAATGTTTTCCTATTTCAAATTCACCAAGTTTGAGTCCTCTGCCTTTGTTAAAATTAGAATATGAAGGCAGGAAGGACCCTTCTGCTGTGTGGTTTTTACCACTTTGTAAATCCGGGAGCCCTGTGAACTCTGCCTGTGCCCTGGCACTCGGGTGGACGGCAGCTTTGCCATCCAGGCAGTTCATGCCGACCTCCAGGCTGGCTGTGGACCCTTTGTTAGAGAACCCATAATAGTTCACAGGTTGGGGAGCTGGGGCCCAGAGAAGGGGAGGTGCACTGTCACAGGTGTGTGGGCTATCGGGGCCGGGACCCCCAGTCAGGACACTACTCTAGTGCTCCTCCCAGCAGAGCCCCGCTGTCTGAGAGCCAGGGCTGCGGTTTGTGTCAAGCAGTGGGCTCCATGGGGCGCTGCCCTGCACTGCGGATTCATCTTGAGGGATGGGACTCCCCGGGGCCTGGCACTCAGTGTCACCACAGTCTGGCATCTCCTTGAGGCATGACTGAGCGCCCAGGGTGCCAGGATGAACCCCGCACTGCAGCGCCAAGTTCTGCTCATGCTTCTGGTTAGCTCCAGGGCAGCTCCAGGGAGGAAATGCAAAGGGGTGAAGCAGGGAAAGGACCCCCAACCTCCCTGACAGGGCTGTGCCAGTGGTGAACAGTCAGTGGCCAGGGTGGGCCAGGGGCCCAGCTGTATCCAACCATGACTCTCATGGCCCCTGCCTCTCACTGTCACTGCCAGCAGCAGCCCCCTCCCAAGCTCTGCGTCACTAGACTGCTTCTGTCGACAGAGCCTCACTTCCAAGAGATCACTGGAGCGAGCCTGTCCCCATCAGTGTGCTTGTCCCAGGCTCCAGCACAGAGCCCTGACACACACTGAGCGCTCTGTCCCTAATCACAGCTTCGAATGGGTAGACGGTGCCATCCCATCAGCCCACCCATTCTCACACCTTTCCTGAGCACCCCTCCCCCGCCTCTCCCCCCCACCCCACGCTGTGGCAGGGGTGCCACAGCCAGTGGGTGGAATGGGGAATATTCCATCCAGATGTCAGAGCATTCACTGAGCACCTGCTCGGTGCTGTCCTAGGTGATGCGGATGCACAGGAGTAGGGCTGGGGCGCTTCCTTAGAGCCCGAGGTCCAGGCAGCAGCCAGGGGAGGTAGCGGTGCTGGGCTAAGCTGGGCCAAGCTGGGCCTCCAGGGAATCCATCCTAAAGAAGTTGTCAGGCAGTCAAGTGCAAAGCGGGAGACCCCTGTTTGTGGCAGCACTGGTGGCAAGGGGAGTGAGCAGCTGTGGCCAGGATGCAGGTGCCATGGAGGGAGGGCTGGGTGCCCTGCCACATAGAGTTGTGCCCCTCTGTCCTTACACAAGCAGGACGAGGCTGCCCATGGGCTGTGACTTATCTCAGAGACTTGGGCATTCATGTAACATTCCCGCACATGCCCAGGTGAGGACCTGTCCCCACGTCCATTGCAGTGACCCCCAGCCAGCCCATCACTGACACCCCAGAGATGGGTTTCTGACCATGTGTGCCCACCCCACCACCTCCAAGTCCTCACCTTCTTTTCTTTTCTCTTTTAGGCCTGAGGAAATCAGTGATTTATAGTTCACAAAAACTGCACAAAATGTGGAAAGGATGGCTGAGGAAAACATCCTGATTATGTTTTGTTTTGTTTTTGGTACCAAGGATCAAACTCAGGTCCTTACGCTTGCACAACAAGCGGTAAAACCACTGAGCTAAATCCCCAGCCCTATATATATATATATATATAGGTCCTTACGCTTGCACAACAAGCGGTAAAACCACTGAGCTAAATCCCCAGCCCTATATATATATATATATATATATTATGGATAGATGAATAAAGCGTTTGATCTTTTTTGACAGAGCAGTGTTTGTTACTTTGACCCAGTGCTTAAATTTGAAGAGACCATGGTCTGTATAATACTTGATATTTTTCTGTTGTTTAATTTTTGATTTTTTGGGACAGGGTCTTACTATGTCATCCAAGCTGGCCTTGAACCCCCAACAATCCTATTGCCTCAGCCTCCCGAGGGCTGGGATTACAGGCGTGTATCACCATGCCCAGCTGATTTTTCTTTTTTAGTAGTGTACACATCAGACACTTTCCCAGTATATAAGGGCATCGCACCAAGAAAAGAATCTTGTGTACGTACAGAACCAAGAGGCTCCCGTGCGGGCAATGGAGAGGCCAAGGCCAGGCCCTGCCTGTCGTTAGTGAGGGCTTGCATGTGTTATGTGGTTTTTCTGAAGTTTGCCTTTATGTCTCTCCTTGTTCCCCAGGAGGGTGTGTGGCAGAGTGACCTTGGCGAGCAGCCCTGGCTCCTTGTAACAGCTGGGCATGCTTGGGCACAATGCCTCCAGCGGGCTGGCTCATTCATTCATCTCCCTGCCTCAGCACCATTGGTGTCACTGGAAGGTGCTCCCTCGGGGGGACCACTGGCAGTAACTTCCAGTGCACATGTGGGAGGCAGAAGGAGGATTCTTTTCAGAAGCTCCTAGACAAGAAAACTTCCCAGCACCCTTGTCCGCCTTCATGGGCTCCGACTGGCATGCCCACCCCTGAGCCAGGAAGCAGCCAAAGGACAGAGGCAGGCTGCAGGCTGTGGTGGACACCCAGGTGGAGACCAAGGAAGGATTAGGAAGCACCCCACACCCACCTCACATGTCGTGTCCACCTGTCCAGTTGAACCTCAGGTTCTCTTCTTCCTTCAGCTGTAGTTCCACATCTTGGTCCTCCAGTGCAGGGCCTTAGGGTCTCTGGTACCTTTGTACCATGTCTTTCTACTTATTTCGTCTTAAGTGCTCTCCCACCATTCCAAAGCCACAGTCTTACATCAGCAATAAATCTGCCATTATCTAGACAGGCTGAAAAGGAAGTGTGTCTACAGCAGCAAAACCACTGCTCCCTGGCAAACTTGGCACCTTGCATGGCATGTGCAGGCATTTCCCATGCTGAGAGAACAGGCATTTCACAAGTGCCCTTTGCCTATTTCTGAACAACTCTCGTTACTGTCAGACATTGGGTGGTTCTACACATAGGCTAAAAAGGAGAATTTAACTTCAGCAACCAAACCATTAATCTGGGCCAAAAATAGTAGGTTGAACAGAGTGGGCCGACACATTCCCAGGCAACGAGAAGCCTTGTGGGTGAAGGGAAAGCCTGTGAACAGACTAGACCGATCGCCGGCCAGCTGAGGGACTTTGGCCAAGTTCTGTAGTCTCCGAGAATAGTTTTGCCATCTGTGAAATGGAGATAACATTACAAAATTCCTCAAGTTATGGTGGTCTTGTGAGCTGACACTGGCAGTGTAGGACAGGATACACTGCCTTCATTCAGTGGCTGTCACTCTTTTGTGTTATGGCTATTCTGTCATTTTCTCAGGTCCTTTCACTTGCACGGCAGGCGGTGAAACCACTGAGCTAAATCCCCAGCCCCCACTCCAGTGATCTCTGGCTGCCGAGTGGGCTGTGGCGGCACCTCTCTGGCCTCTGGTAGGCGCTGGGGCAACATATACATCCCCTCTAGACTTCTGGCTCTCAAGAAATACTTTCTCTTCTCCCTCAAGCTCGGGCGCTGAGGGCCCAGCCGGGGAGTTATCACTAGGGGGCCTCATGCCCTCCCCTTGGCAGGGGACCCTGGCCACCCGCTGACCCTCACCATATTTGGTTCCAAGTGGCTCCCTCATGACATGACAGCTGGGTTCCATGAAACAAGCACCCTAGAGCCAGGTGTCACGGTGCCATCTTGCGGGCTGTAGTCACATGGCATCTTTTCCGGTTGCTTTCTTCTGTCAGAAGCAAGTCGCCAAGCCAGTTCACAATCAAGGAAGGAGAATGAATACACCTACCAAGGGGGACGGGCCCAAAACTCTTTGTCTATTTTGCAACCACCGTGGGGCAGGTGTGGGCCTGCAGGTTCCCTCCAGCACCTCCTCTCTGCTCATGAGCCCTGCCCTCATCTCTGCAAGGAATTCCTCCTACCAAGCTCCCATTGTGATGTACATAGGTTGGTCTCTTAATTCCTGACAAGGCTCTGGTGCTTGAGATTATCTTTAGCCAGCTGAGCTCACCATCTGAGGGAAGAGCAGATACTTTCAGACCTGTTAGCTGCTGACCAGCATGCACGGTGCTTTCTGTATGTTGTCAGGATTCCAAACCTGCAAACGACATGGCTATGCCTACATTATGGGCACAGAAACCGGGGCTCTGAAGGGGTAAACAACTTGCCCAAGGGTGCAGCTGGAAAGAGGCAGAGCTGGGGTCCAGATTCAAGAACATGTTTCTTGGGTTTTCTGGAACAAGAACTGCTTCTGGGCTGGGGATTTAGCTCAGTGGTGCCACCACCTGCCTCGAAAGTGAAAGGTCCCGAGTTTGATCCTCAGTACAAAAAAAAAAAATCTGCTTCCGGCCCACAAGTTCCACTTGCTCAGTAGCAGACTCACCTTTCGAAAGCCCTGTGAACCTGCTGATGAATCCCAGCTTAGATACAGCTTAGACACGGCTCTAACTTTCAAGATGGGCTGGCGAGGGGAAGGTAAGAATGCATCTCGAGGAGGAGGAACACCAAGATTTGGGCGCTCATTGTGTGTGAAAGCTGCAGGGTGTGTGGGAAAAGGCACAGGCAACAAGCTTGGAGGCCTAGGTTCCGGTCCCAGTGACACTACTCACTGAGCTAAGGCCCCAGTGTTCCAGCGTGGACCAAGGAGACACTTGGCAGTGTCTACTCTGGGATACAAAAGCTGTGTCAGCTACAGGGGACAGAAAAAGTAACACAAAGAAAGTAAAGCTCAATTATAAGGGTCCTGATTAGGTGGTAAGAGAGTCCTATTAGCAACAGGGAATCACTTTAACTTTTTTGTTTTTCGCTTTAACTTGTTGATGAAGAAAAAAGTGCAAACCAGATCACTGGAGCAGAGCGCCCGGCACTTCCGCCTCCCTCCTCCTCCCCGTCTCCCGCCGCTATCTCCAGGGGGCGCTGTGGGATGCGAAGCCAGCAGGGCGGAGCCTGGGAATGTGGCTGGAGTCTGCCACCAGCGTGGTCCCCGCTCCCCACGTGCAGGCTGCGTCCGTCAGTGGCAGCACCAGTTGCCTCCCCTCAACTTAATGCCCACGAACTTAACACAAAAGATGACCCTCTGCTGCAGAAAAGCAGGCGCGAGGATCTACGTCACTGTCCCCCACTCTGGGTAATAAGTCTTAATTATAGTCGCGGCTGAATGATGCATAACCTGGAAAACAGCCCATAGTTGATGTCCACCCACACTCCTTGCAGAAACTGCAGCAAGGAAGGAAGCAAATACACCCTCCTCCGTTTGTATTATTTTGGTTTCTGGAAACAGGGTCTCACTATGCAGTTCAGGCTGGCCTTAAACTCACAGCAATCCTCCTGCCTCAGCCTCCGGAGCACTGGGATGATTGGCACATGCCACCATATCTAGCTCCACTCGTTTTTTAAAAGTAGTCATTGGGCCAGGGATTTAGCTGAGTGGCTTCACCACCTGCTGCACAGGCGCAAGGACCCAAGTTTGATCCCCAGTACCAATAAAAAATAAAAAATAAATAAAATAAATAAAACTGGTCATGGCAGATGACTAATATCTAGGATATATAAAGAACTCAAAAAATTAGACCCTCAAAATGAAAGACCAAATCAAAAAATGGGCAAGTGAAATGAACAGACTTAGAAGAAATACAGATGGCCAGTAAACGCATGAGAAATGTTGAGCACCACTGGCCACTGGAGAAATGCAAATTGGCAACCCTGAGATTCCACCTCACTCCAGAAAGAATGGCATTCATCAGAAAATCAAATAATAACAATCCTAGTGAAGCTGCGGGGAAAATGGAACCTTCTATGATTTTAGGATTGTAAATTAGTACAGTCATTATGTTTTTGTTTTTGGGGGGGTGTTTTGTTTTGTTTTGTTTTTGAGATAAGGTCTCACCATGCAGTTCAGCCTAGCCTTAAACTATGTATCTTAGGCTGGCCTTGAACTTGAGGCAATCCTCCTGCCTCTGTCTCCCGAGTGCTGAGATTACAGACCTGAGCCACCATGCCCAGCAGTACACTCATTGTGGAGATCTGTATGAACATTCCTCAGAAAACTGAAACTAGAAATTCCTTTTGACCCAGGTATTCATTCCCCTCCAGGTATCTTCCCAAAAGAGGTAGACGTCATATTACAGTGATCCATGCACACACATGTTTATAGCAGCACAATTCATAATAACAAAATCTTGGAAGCAGCCTATATGTCCATCAGCAGCTGAATGGATAAAGAAAATTCGGTATTTTCACACAGTGGGGCACTACTCTGCCATAAAGGACAAACTTGAGTCAGTTGTGAGAAAATGGATGCACCGTGAGACGATAATCTTAAGTGAAATAAATCAGACAGGAGCTTAAATATCACATGGTTTCTCCTATACGACAAACCCAAAATGTAAATGAAGAGCAAAATAAAAGCTAGGTAATAGGAAGATAGGTCTTGCAAATGGGAAAGACACCAAGAGATAGGGCCAAAGGGAGGGAAGAGAAAGAAGATGTGTACTCCTCCCAACTCCCCATGATGAATGTAATGATTTTGTACTGCAAACACATACTAATAAAAAGAAATATTGGAGACTACACGTGGTGCCACTTGTCCCAGCACTCAGGAGGCTGAGGCAGGAGGGTCACTCACTGTGAGTTCAAGGCCAGCCTGAACTACATAGTGAGATCCTGTCTCAAAACAAAGAAAACTAGTAAAACAAGGCATATCAAAGTGGATGATTATAGCATGTTTCTTCCATTCCCTTTTTCTCTCTTTCACTTTCTTCCTTTTTTTGAGACTGGATCTCAATTGGTCAGGCTGGGCTGGAGCTTTTAATGGTCCTCCCTTGGCCTCCCGGAGTGCTGGGATTATAGGTATGCGCTTGTCCCCGGCTCCATTCCCCTTCCTCTGGCCCCATTGTCCTCAGCCTGCACACATGCTCATGTGACCCAAGGCTGTGTCACTGAAGAGCTGTCCATAGCACTGCCTGTGGAGCTGCCCGGCCTCACTACTTGTTCCTGCTGGACATGGCTCCACATTCACAGCTGAGGAGTCCAAGTTTGATTCAGAACATTTCTGAGCCAGGTATGCTGACACACATCTGTAATCCCAGCACTCAGGAGGCTGAGGCAGGAGGTTTGCCAAGAGTTTGAGACCAGTCTGGGCTACACAATGAGTTCAAGCCCACCCTGAAGTACACAGCGAGACCCTATCTCAAACAAAACAAAATTTCTCCTATTAACTCATTTCTCCTCAACCCTCTGAAGCAGGGACTAGTAATGCTCTAAGTTGAAAAGTGAGGCATGAACCTCAGAGGTGGAGTCGCCCCACTTCCCACAGCCAGCAAAGTGGTGGAACCAAGATTCAAACCCACACCGTCAAATTGTGTTTCCGTCTCAGTGCTCCTGACTACTGTGCTGTGTACTGTAACTGAGCACAAAGTAGGTGCCCAGGAAATGTGAGCTGTTGCTGGCGGAGCTACTTCCTGTCTTAGAATTATCAATCTTTCATTTCCTGTCCTGTAGAAATAATCTGCTAGCCAGTGGTGGTTCACACCTGTAATCCCAACCTGTAATCCTGAGGCAGGCAGGAGGATCGAAAGTTTGAGGTCAGCCTGAGAATTTAGGAAAATTTTCTCAAAATAAAAATTTTAGAAGGCCAGAGTGTAGCTCAGTGGTACAGCACTTGTCTAGCATGTGCAAGACCTTGAGTTCAATCCCCAGCATCACACAAAAAATGTGCTTTGCTACAGCTACCGGGGGTGGGGGGGTGCACAGCCAGGTCCTTGGTTGCAGTGCTGGCTGAGTCCTCACTCCTGCAAGGTGCTGTGTGGGGTTGAATCTTCCAACCTTCGCCCACCTGAGCCCTCCATTTCTCTAGAGCTGGCCGCCACTGGAGCCACCAAAATGCCCTCCAGGAGCTTGGAACGCTGACCAGACACACTGTCTTGCAGGCAGGGCACTGGCATCAGCCTGACACCCTCCTGTGGAAGATGATGGGCTCCTTGAGCCCACAAAAATGCTGCCCCCACAGCTCCAGACTCGCTGCAGGGAGTGAGTGAACCTGTTTCACAGCAGAGGCATCTGAGTGAGTACCTTTAACGAGTCCCAGATTGTGGAAAAGAAGGGAAAACGACCCCACATTTATGGGAGGCCTAGGAATACACAGACAGCCTCAGTTAATCCTTACTTGAATCTTACAACAAAGCTAAGGTTTTATTGTTGTTTGCTTTTTTTTTTTTGGTACCGGGGATTGAACTTGGGACCTTGAGCTTGCGAGGCAGGCACTGGAACCACTGAGCTAAATCCCCGGCCCCAAGCTGTTGTTTGCTTTTTACAATCAAGGAAGCAGGACTTCACCTCATCCCTGGGCTGTGATTCCAGTTCTGTCTGACTCTGAAGCCCCCTCCTGTCACCGCGAGCCACTGGGCCCAGCCCTGAAACGTGGACAGGTCCTCCAGGCTGATCCCCATCGCCCTGTGACTTGTCATCGCTGACTATGGTCCTAAAGATGCCCGGCGGCCTTTTCATCTTCTCTATCCTGAGACTCTGTGAGGCCACAGAAAGTGCCTTCCGTGCTCGAAGAGAGGATGCAGGACTCGCCAGAATCGGTGGAAAACTTAAAACTCCCTTGTTTTCCAAGGGAGATAAGTAAGACCCAAACAGGGTGGGCTTCCAGTGCTGCAAGCCAGGCCTTCACTTCCTACTTCATCCCCTCCTCTCCTCACACTGCACATGGTGAGCTGTGATGGAACTAGGCCTGGAAGAACCAAATCTCAGACTCGGGATTCTTTTCAGAAACTGCAGTCCATTCTCCTAAATACGGCTGCTACCTCTGCTGTGTACCTTGTGCGTTCTGCTCACTGAGTCACCAGCCTTCTCCTAAGTTGAGCTGCTGGCTGAGAACGTGGTTTCAATTTTCCAGTTGCAGTGGGTTATGTAGAGTGGGTCCTGGATGTGGCTGGCGCAAGTGCAGGAAAGGTCTAAAGGCTATGCTCAGACAGTGGGACTGGATTCAGCCGCTTCCGCTCCACTCTGCTGGGGAGAAGATGTGGCCAAGCAGTGTTGGGCTGGAGAGAAAAGCGACTGCACTGGTGGTCCCCGTGGTCCAGCCTCAGTGAGCATAGAGGACAGAAGGCCGGAGGACAGAATCGACCCTCGCTCACGGTGATGCAAGGGGAAATGCAACCAAATTCCTTCTTCTGCTGAGGCAGTCACATACAGTCAGAGACTGCACGAGTCCTGTTGTGTGCCAGACACCGGAGCCCTGGAGAGCTGTCCCAACTCCGCTGATCGTACATGCAGAAAGCAGTGCAGCGAGTGAGCTGCGGAGTGCATTTCCTCACAAATGCTCAATTATCGTGTGCTGTGAGGTGCATCAAAGTCAGGCACATACTGGTTGAGTATTACAGAGTGCTGGGCCATGTTCTAGCTCCTTGTGTGGATTTATTCCTTCACTCTTCACCTGGTGCAGTGGGACTCTTCTTATCTGCTGCATGGATGAGGCAACAGAGACATGGGCAATGGTAAGGAAATAACACACCCCAGTGTTTTCACCATAAAATGTTCTGTTCGAGCAGTGTAACTGTGCTGCACCATGTCTCCACCTAAGGTTTCAAGAATGGTCTGTTAAGCTGGGCATGCTATCGTGTGCCTGTAATCCCAGCACTTGGGAGGCAGAGGCAGGAGGATCACTGCAAGTTCGAGGCCAGCCTGCACTGCATAGTGAGTTCATTGCCCGCCTAAACTACAAAGCAAGACCCTGTCTCAAAAAACAAAAAACAAACAAAAGAGAATGGTCTGTTAACTCCACCCATCTGCCTCAATGAGCATACTCACTGGTAGGTTGGCCCACCCCCTACCCCGTAGATCTCTGTGTAAGGCTGCTTCCATTTCTGTTTGAGGCTCAGACTTTGGAGTACAAACTCCTCTGAGCCTACCAATGTAATAAAGTTTCCTTCCATCTCTGTGAGTGCTCCCCTCGGTTTCTTCGTCTCTGAAGACCTTTGGATAGCTGTCACACGTGGCTGTGACACAGAGCTGTATTGCTAGCCTGTAATGCTGAACTGTCACACTTTGCTGTAACAGCAATACAGTGAGTTGTGTCACAGGTGTATTCAAAACTGGGCCAACCAGTTCCAAAGCCCTTTCTCTTCACTTCTTGGCTAAACTGTCCTTTAATCACTTAGAGTTCTCCAGGTCTGAAAGGAAGGAGCAGGTGACTCAGCTGTGGCTTTCAGAATAAGTAGAAGGAGGAAGATGCAAGCATAGAGACATGGATATCCAGAAAGCCTGAGGGAACAGTCCATGGGTCTAGGGCACCAAAGTGAACTCGGGACAGGAAAGTGTCTGCAGGCACTGGGGGAGTCAGGCTGGACAGTGGCAGGCCAAGTCAGGGGAGGGCCCGCAGAGCCGTGGGTGTTGCCGGGCAGCCAGCAGGGGCGTCAGGCTGGCAGTGAGACACAGGGCATTTTCTACAGATCAGCCTGGCTGTAGCCGGGGACAAGTTAGAAGGGCCAGGACAGTGCTCAAGGGCAGAATCACTGTGATGGACCGGAGGGGCAGATGTGAGCTGCGCTGAGGACGCAGACTCCCAGAATTTGATGAGTGACTGTGCAGAGCTGGCTGCAGCAGCCAGCTGAACGGTGTGCTGTATACAAGCCGGGGCTCGGGAGGAGCCCAGGGACAGGCAGGCACTCGGGTCTGGGCATGGCCAGGATCATCAGTACACAGCTGCTGTCAGGCTTGGAGCTGGAGATGGAAAAGTGACAGTTTGTAGCAAGGGAGGTGGCACTCAGAGACTCCCCAGAGCAGGAAGGGGCTCTCCAGGATGAGCGCCAGTATGAAGAGAGGGGTGCCTCGGGGATACTGCCTGAAAGTGAAGAGTCATGGGGGACTGGAGGCCAGCTGAGACAGGGAGAAAGGGTCCAGGCACATGGGGCATGGACAGAGGGATGCGGCCCCCGAACAGCAGCCCCCATGGGGGAGGAGGGTGTAATGTCCATTGCAGACACCAGGCTCGGACTTAGGATTTGCTTTGGCTGGTGAAGTTAGGATGGTGCCACATGGGTCACTTCCTGCACTGGATTGGAGTGTGACTGAGCCACAGTGAGTGTGGCAGGCATGAGAGGAAGAACCTTCCCCAGTGTCGCCTCTGCGATTTTGAACCCCTTGTCTCTGCAACTCAGCCTGGCTGATAAAGTGGTGAAGTCTGAGTCTGTTGAGAGGGTCAGACAAGGTTTCATGCAATCGATGGATTTATTGATTGCTGACAAGAGTTCCAAAGCACAAATGCTGGAGAAAAAATAGTCTTTTCAACAAATGTTGCTTAAGCCGGCTATGGTGGTGCACGCCTGTAATCCCAGCACTCAGGAGGCTGAGGCAGGAAGATCACGATGAGGTCAAAGCCAGCGTGGGCTACATAGTGAGTTCAAGGCCAGCCTGAACTACATAACAAGACTTTGTCTCAAAACAAATAAAAAATTGTTGGTAAAGATATGGAGAAACTGGAAGCTTCCTGCCCCGCTGGATGGAATGTAAAGTGGAAAATCTGTTCTGGAAAACACCCTGCCAGCTCCTCATGAGGTTAAACCTAGCAGAGACCACATTACCTGGCAGCCCCGAAGCTGTGCCCACACAGAAACCTGCACAGAAGTGTGCACAGGGCCATCGGCCATAGGGCGAAGTGGAAACAGCCTCGTGCTGATGAAAGGATGTGTGACTAAATAAACACGACATGCACCAAACAGTGGAATATCAATAATGGGGGAAAGAATGCAGTCCTGTCACGTGCTGCACCCTGCCCCAGCCATGGGAACCATGTGCTGAGGCGTGGAAGCCACACACAACAGGCCACAGGTGGCCAGAAAGACCCCATGTGGAGACAGGAAGTACATTCATGTTTGTCTGGAGCTAGACAGAAGTGGGGACTTAGGAGTGAGGGCTGAGAGACTGGGGCTCTATTTTGAGGTTCATGAAAATGTTCTAAAGTTGACTGTAGTGGTGGTTGCACAACTCTGTGAACACACTAAACACCACTGAAGTGCACACTTTAAGTGGGTAAGGTTTATGGCGTATCAATTAGATCCCAATAAAGCTATTAAAAAATCAGAGTTTCGCTGGGAAGGCAGCATTTGAAATGGTCTTCGAAGAACAGTCGGTGTTGAGAACATGAAGACAGTTAGAAAGGGGGTGGAGTCCAGTGAAGTGAGGAACTGGCAGGGAATGGAGTGGGAAGTTTTACTATTGTTTGCTTAGTTTAGGGTTTAGGGTTAGGATCTCAAACCAGAGCTGCCACTCATTGCTAAATTTCTCAATATTCTTTCATAGAAATTAGCTGAGGGCCAGGCATGGTAGAGCATGCCTGTAATCCCAGCACTCAGGAGGCTGAGGCAGGAGGATCATCAAAAGTTCAAGGCCATCCTAGACTACATAGTGAGTTCAAGGCCAGCCTGAACTACAAAGGGAGTCCCTGTCTTAAAAAACAAAAAAAGAAACAAAAACACAAACATTCTTTTACAGACACTGGAGAAGCCATGACAGTGTCCAATATGGAGGACCTTTTGGAGACCTTTCCCAGTAACCACCAGTTTTCCTCCCTTGATGCAGGCAGGTTCAAAGCCTGTCAACCAGCAAGACACCCTCGAGGATGGGCACCCTCACACAGCTCTGACCCAGGACAGCCTCACACTGTTGGCCTAATAGCTGCTCCTGGAGGGCTAGCAACACCACCCATGTGTCTGGCCCTGGGCAACAGACTCCAGAAGGGGCTCCCTCAGGATGGTGTGCTCTAGGGGAGCAGTGCGGCCAGGCCCAGGAGGTCCCGAGGCCTTAGCTCTGCAGCTAGGGTCCTGCCACCATGTGGTGAGTAGCCCCTGTGAGCCCAGTGTTCCGCAGGCTGAGGCAGGAGGATCACCATACAGATGATGTCCTCCTGCTGTGTCGCAGTGATGGAAGGCAGTGTGGTGCAGTGGTGAGAGCTCTAGGTGTGCAGTCCAGTGCGGGGAGGAGGAAGTGAGTCCCTGCTGCAGCCTGGAACTTGACATAAACTGAGCTCCTTTCCACACAATAGCTGCGCCAGCCAGGTTCTTAATATTCCCACCTGGCAATCTCCCCATTAGGCCTCTGAGGCTTAAGTTCATGTTTCCATTGTGGCACTGCCTTGGGGACATCATTTATCCTGTACTCAGTGTTCAGATCTGTGGAGCTCGTCCTGACACCACTTCCTGGCTCCTCAACTCCTTGAAAACATTCTTGCTACCTGTAGGGCCACATTTGCTCTCAATACAGAGCAAAAGCTCAAATTGTTTATCTTTGTTTATTCTGGCTTTATGAAGATATAATTAACAAGCAAAAATTATACACTTTTAAAGTATGTATTTACATATATTTAATGTAATGATTTGCTATACAAATATATCCTGAAGTGTGATTACCATAATCAAATTAATTAACTTTTCCATCATCTCACATGGTTATCATTGTGATTGTGTGTGTGTGTGTGTGTGTGTGTGTGTGTGTGTACTTAGGCACTACTCTTTTGGCAAATTTCAAGTATACAATACAGTATTTTAAAATTATAGTTGCCTGGGATTTAGCTCAGTGGCCACCGCCTGCCTCGAAAGTGCAAGGTCCTGAGTTCGATCCCCGGTAGCAAAAAAAATAAAATTATTGTGACTGCCAGGTATGATGGCACACACTTGTAATCCCAGCACTAGGGAGGCTGAGGCAGGAGGATCACTGCGTTCAAGGCCAGTCTGGATTACATAGTGAAAGCCTGTCTCAAAAACCTAAAAACAAAGAAACACCGTTGAAGCATGAGTCGCTCGCATGGACATTGGAAATCACTAGATCATTGGCTGGGAACGTGTCAGAGAGAGAGATGGTGACCAGGGCAGGGCTTGTGGACAGTGACTATGTCCTGTGACAGTGATAAGAACAATATGCTGGCTCCCTGCTTGAACCTTGCTAATCTGAATGTCTGAGGCTCCTCGCCTGCCCAAAATTCATGTGTTGAAATTCTAACCCCACGGAGACAGTGTTGAGAGGTGGGACCTCTGGCTGGTTGCACTCGCAGCTTAGCGTCATCCCCAGGGAGTCCCCACCTGCCTCCCACCCTGTGAGGCCACTTCACAGGCGCTTGCACAGGTCTGGGAGGAGTGGGCCTTGCCACACCCTGAACCTGTCGCTGTTGGACTGCAGCCTGCAGGGCCAGGCAGAATACATTTCTGCTGTTCACAGCCACCCTGTATGTCAATGTGTCAACATCTCCAAAGGGACAAAGACCTCAGAAGGAGAGAGCTGGAGGCCGGGGTCGCAGGCTCCAGCGTGGCCTATGGCATGTGGCTGCCTCCTGGACGTTGCCCCTCTTCTGCCTCGGCACAAGTGGCTGGTCTTCCTGCTGTTTTGAGGCCATAGTACAGGTACACAGCATACACTGGGGGCTGAGGAGGTTACTTCCCTCCACTCATGTGATCTCAGGCGGTGCCCCAGGACCATTTCCTGTAACCCCAGACCAAAGCACATGCTCTCCTTTTTCCTCTTCCTCGCTCTTGAGCCTGGAAGCCTGATCTGTCTGCGCAGCATGCGGTGTGCCTTTTCTATCATCCTGACTCTACCCATGATCTTCAATGAACATGGCTGCTTTTCTTTCGCCGTCAGGTGTATGCTTTGCAATTCTTTGCTTGCCATGCACAAGAGCTTGGAATCTGTCAGATGCACCATTCAGTAACAACAGGATCTCACTGTGTGATTTAGGCTGGTCTTGAACTCATTATGCATCCCAGGCTGGCCTTCAATGCTTGGCGATCCTCCTGCCTCAGCATCCTGAGAGCTGGGCTTACAGGCATGGACCATCATGCCCATCTAAAAACATACATGCCCTTTTTTTCAGTGTTGGGAATTTAATCAGGGCCTAGTGCAAGCTATGCAATCCCTTTACAACCGAGCTACATCCCGCCCCAAGTGGCGAGA